TTTTTGAGAAAAGCAGATGAAAGAGGGCAATTTGGGGGGGGGGGGGGGTCAGTAGAGGTTGATGTGTAGTATACTTACCTTTTATGTTTCCCAACCATAGATCTTTAGGTGTAAAGTCCAGGAGCTGACATGTTTCCACTCCCAGTGCTCCAACATAAAGCCAATTGGTTATCAATAAAATCTTTACAGACTTGTATGAAGCTGACAACAAATTCTGGTTGACTGCTAAGCAATGCTCTGGGAGTGCAAGTGGAATCCTGGAGTTTTTTTTTTTATGCAAATAATTCAGATTGTGTTTAAACCATAACTGTATAAAATATGTTTTTAAAAAATCTACTAAGATAATTAAATGTAAAGTAATATAAGGCACGATGCAAAGTATAGATGTAGCTAGTACTTAAAGTTTATCTAAAGCCAAAATGTATTTCTCAGTTTGGATAGAGTATGGAATGGTTAAACCCTTTTTGAGGTTTTGTTTTTTTGTGCTATCTGTGTCCCATTGAGGAGATTTTTCTTCACTTCTTGTCCTGTAGACACAACAGAAAGTAGGAGAAACTTACCCCTTATCCCTATTAGAGGACTTCCCCCTTTATTCCTGTTTGGGAGAAGACTAACATTTTGGATATTCCTATTACTTTCAATCCCAGTGACAATAGTCACAAGGACAAACAGAGGGGGTTACTCCACAGCAAGTAAAATGTAACAGGGGTTCTTTTACTTCCTTAAACTAAAACAAAATTGGCTTAAGATGCCCTTTAAGCAACTTAAGAGAAAAGTTACAATCTGATTGTACAATTTCTTTTTACGCTTAAAAAAATGGCATGTGGCACGTGGACACCACGTCCAGGTGCCACAAAGCTGAAGGAGATTGTACAACCAGACTGTTACAACTGTGGCCAGATGTGTGCAGTTTTCTAAGGGTCATGTCACACAAGCTATTTTATATCAGCTCTTTCTAGAACCTACAAATTGTCTCCTTTTATTGCCAGGGGTAAATTCATTGCAGGGAATTCAAGTTCCCAGTAATTTCAGTGATGTGTTGCTTGGTCACAAAGTGATTGACTTTTGCAGCATCTAAAGATGGCTACATATAGCTTGCATCAGTAGCTGCTCGTGTTTTTTAATGCAGCTGCTGCCAGCAATTTGTAGCTGCATAGAGAAGCATTACAGTACCCAGAGAAATTAAAGGAGAATTATGAGGCAAGTGATTTTCACCTCAGCCTCATAATCTGAGCCGACCTGTGACAATGAAACTATCACAGGTCGGCTCAGTAGATCGGGAAGTGAGCAAATACATAGCGTCGGCCGCTCACTTCTCGATCTATCCCTGCAGAGAGCTGTGACCGTCACTCACTGCTCCCTGCAGAGATTCCCCCCCTCGCTGACTGGCGAAACGGACGGTGGAGGGGGTTCAGCTGGCTCTGCCTCTGGATAGGCAGAGCCAGCTGTCAATCCCGCAGCTGGGTGGATCCAGACAGTATTGGCGGGATCCGTCCCGGCTGCGGCGTCTCAGCTACAGCTCGCGGTATACTGAGCTTTGGGTCACGGGAGAACGCTAGTTTGTGTTCTCCCGTGACCCTTAGGAGAACTATGGGGAAAAGCCCTGACCCCATAGTTCTCCTTTAAGAGGAGACTTGTAGCTGTTAAATCTCTGCTACAATTGCGAGTGTGGCATGGCCCTAAGGCTTTACAGTACAGTTTACAGTACTACAATTCATTGGCTTGTAGTTGTTCATGTTATTGTGGCAAAAACAATATATATGTTTTATTTTGTTCCCTTCTAGCTTTGGCATACGCTTGCATGTGTGCTTTCATACCAAAATACCTGTACAACTTCTTCCTCAAAGATAATTCACATGTTATCCAAGGTAAGCATATGACATCTTTTTGTACATTCTTATTACAGTTCACCTGAAACTACATTGCATATTTCTTTATTGTACATCACAGCACAAAGGGAGTTCATTCTGGAGTTGATGGGTTATCAGCTACCTATAGGTAATTGGACACCTTCAAAATAAAGGACAGCCATATATAGTATAACCCCTCCCACCTCCAGCCTGCCTCCGTTTTTGTAATGATTCACTTCACTCTGCTCTGAGAATAGCACATCCTTTTCTTGTACTGATTATTCTGGAACGTTTCCATAAGCTGCTCACAGACACTACAGCACCTCTTAGCAACTATTCAAGTTGTTTTTTTCCCCTCAACTGTTCCTTGAAGGACCACACCCATACACCGTTGGTAGGAAGATGCAGGGCCAGCCTGTAATGTGCTAAGGACACTGGATCCTGCATCGGGTGCTCACTTTGACACTTAATGCAGAGAAGTAGCTACAGGGTGCTATACATGTCCAGGGCCATTGTCTATTTGCTTGTGAAGACTTGTCCCTGAGGACCCCCTTTAGGGGGCATGCCCACCAAGCAGACGAAGATTGAATGGGGCCCATATTCTCAGTTTCACTTCAACTGGTTGCAGCTTAACATTCTGGCTGCTTGGGACAATCAAGTTTGGTCCCTGGACGCAGTTCGCAGCTCCACGTGCCGAGCCCGCCAGGAAGCTGACAGCGTGCAGCGCCAATCACAGGCACTGAGACATTTCCCGATCTCTGCTGCTGCGGACCAGGATAATGTCTCAGTACCTGTGATTGGCGCTGCGCACTGTCAGCTTCCTGGCAGGCTCGGGACGTAGAGCTGCGAACACGCCTGAGCCCATCCTTACTCCCAATTTGCCTGTCATGCAAGAAAAGGTTTGCCCTGTCCTGAGGGATCTGAAACCGGGTGCTGGAATCTGGGAAATCCTTCCTCCCATTGGTCTGGAATGTGCCTACTGTCAGGCTGGAAGGGGTCCTGGGAAACCTAATTTCAAGGAAACTTATCGTTAGAGGAATCTCGACTCTCAATCAAAGTCCTGGAGCTCAGAGCAGTACAGTCACTTCTATGTAGGACCCCTCAGTTACAGGGTCACCGGGGCAGGATTCAGTTGGACAATGCCCCATGGCTTACATCAACCACTATGGAGGCATTAGAAGTCGTGCATCTCAAAGAGAAATCGAACTTCCTGTCCTGGCCCTGTCCGCAGTACACATTCCAGGTGTAGAAAATGGACAGGCAGACTTCCCAAGTTGTCAACATCTAAACTCTGGAGACTGGTCTTTTCACTCGAAGATGTTTCGAGTCCTTTGTCACAACTAAGGGCTGCCGCAGATGGACTTGGGGAAACGTGCAGTAAAGAAGAAATCCAGAGTGTAGATGGGCTTGTTTGGGACAGGATTATGAGTTTCTCTTGAACTAACTATCATTTACTATTTTTATGTTGTGTGGTATTTGTTTCTGTTTTTATTTTTATTTTTTTATATAGAAAAATATAATATATTTAAATATATCACAACAAGAAACTTTATCATATTCACTGTGAGTCAGTTCAGTCCCATGACCATATTTAAAGCAATTCCATTTCTAGATCTGTCTCCTGATTGGTTAAATCTCTTTTTTGTGTGTATAAAAATGTAACTTTGACATATTCAGCTATATTACTAGACTGAAAATGTATCTAGTGTGTTTAAGAGTATATTCTCTTTAATCCAATGCCTGTAACTTTGTTATCATTTTAGAGTACTTGACAGTGTTCTCCCAAATGATAGCATTTCATGACCCAGAACTGAGCAACCATCTCAATGAGATTGGATTCATTCCAGATGTAAGTACCAGAATTCTTATAAAATGTACATTAACTGGGGCAAATTATTATTCCAAAATCATGCTTACTGCAAAATAAAAAATTATACAGATGAGGACATTTCTTTTAGTTCCATTACAATGAAACAATGCTTAATTCCTCCTAAAAAATGATGAAATTAAGTTAAATTGTCTCATGTAGACCTACTGTACAAGCCTTTGCTATGGAATAGAGTAAAGCAAAGAAAGTGTGAAAATAGATACATTATTGCTTATTCCACAATGCTTTTTTATAAATGCCCTGGACAGATATGTTGGCACCCCTAGAAAAGATTATAAACAATTAGATCATAGTGCTATTTCAAACCAACCGTTTTTGTAAATAGTATGACACATGCCTTCAATCTTGAAATCAGTTAGCCTATTTCAATGCAGATGTCATGTACCTTATGGGGAGCCTGAGATCACAAGGGAAGCCTCTCTTGCTGTTCCAGTCCAAGAACCCTTGAAGGGTGGAACAGGTGCTCAAGGTCAAGAAATGGCACAGGTGCCAGAAGATAGCATAGTTACCAGGAATGCTGGGATCAGTAGTGCAGACGTCTGCCAGGCGGGAAGCAGGTGAGGAATGGAGATCTTTGAAAGACAGGTCCAGGTCAAGCAGAGTCCGCGACAATCAGGCAGCGAGGTACTAGAACAGCAGACAAGACATAGTCAGGGATAGGCTGGGTCGATAACTTGCGGGCAACGAAGTACAAGAAAGCAGACAGAAACGTGGTCAAGAATGAGCTGTGGTCTAGGGTACAGAACAGCAATCAGAAGGTCAAGGCAAGCCGGGTCGGTAACGGGAGACCAGAATCAGGATACAGGAGACAGGAACTTTGAACAGCTGAAGATCGCTCAGCATGGAGGCTAGAATGTCTCAGCCTTAAATTGCCCATTTGGCACTACAGTTCGTAATGAGCGCATGCTGTGGAATGCGCACACGGCCATGCACAATTCTAAGCACCAAACTGTGCCCTCACACATGCACAGCTCTTCTTTGCAACGGATCTCTAAAGTTTCTCATCTTTTCCCTTCATGCCATTTTTTTGTAAAAAAAAATCAAATTTTATTAGAATTTTTTGATACAAAACAAAAAATTAGATACCATTGTCTGCATACATAACATGAGAGAGCACAAGCGGTGTCATAAGCAGTACCAAGATCAGCCATAGGCAGGCATCTGTACTTTTCATGCCATTTTCATTTGTGATTGTATTTAATATATTCTTTTGAAACTAAAGCAAAGTCTGATTTATATTGAATATGGAATAAACAATAATGGATGCCAGTTACTTTTGTCGGTTTTAAAGTATTTGAGAAAATTGTGGGTTCTTTATGGAAGGGTACCAGCAAATGTATCCACAGTTGTAAATATTTATAGTTATACATGTTTTGTCAGACAGATGTCTTGAGGGCGATATGTTCCTATATATTAGAATGAGTTTGCTATGGATAGATTTGTTTTTATGCTATTTAAGGGATTAATCTCGGGAATTAAGCCTATTTTATACGTGTTAACTAAAATGTTTTTTTACAGAGCATCCTTTTCTTAAATTAGATGTGCACTTTCCAATCAGATCTGCTTTCAGCAGGCCCTGTTCATCAGGAGAGAATTATATGTTATTAGAGCTGTGGGCTTGCACTCCATATCCACTGATTGCAAAAAAAAAAAAAATGCTGCAATTTTATCACTTGTTTTTAAATCTTCTGCCTGATCCTGATCCTGACACAAATCTTAAAAATTATTGAGTGTAATCAATTGTTCTGATGTAATCAGAAGTCAACTACATTTGACTGATTTGCGGCACAGGTGTAGCTCTTATCGTATGGAAGGCTTGGGCATTTTTTGTTAGCTTAGAGCACCTTGCCTATAACAGAATGAGCTAAGAGCTAGATAGCCAATGTGCCTTTAAAATATTGTGCCCATTTTCATACAGCTTAGTGAGGTTTGTTTAGCTTATCTTAGCTGATATCCTTTCAGATACTTAATGCTTTTGTGTGGCACGAACTGGTTTCCAAGATCTATAATTTGCTGATGTTGGAAGCAAATACAAGACCAGTCATCCTGCATAAGTAGAATAAAGCTGCAGTGACCGGTCTTTATTACAGAGCATTGTTGCACAGAAGCAGAGTTTCACACTGGATTACTGCACACCAAGATTAAAGGCAGAATACACATGCCTATTATACAATACAGTATTTGCTTATCCTGGAGTTCAATTGTAAGGGCTATTATTCTCATGGTATTCTAATGTCAATTTTTAAATTACATATTTATTTTTTGTTTTAGGAATTTGCAGAGTGTAGGCTTATGTTAATTTTTCACTGTTCTCTGTCCCCATTGGGAAAATATCCCTTATGTCGTATTTAACTGACATTTGTTTTAGGAGCATCAAATAAGGGAAAACCTTAATTATTATTTTTTTTAAATCTCCCCACCCCCCTCAGACTTTAAAACTATGCAGGATTTTTCAGTCCTGGTGTTTCCAGAAATAAACTCTAAAAAAAGTAAACTGCAAAACGCATATAAAGTAGGTAGCCAAAACTGATCGCACTGCTCCTCCATTGATCAGCAGGGAATTCAACCACATGCTCACTGGTCAGAGCATGCCCACGCTCCGAAATCAGCAATCATTCAAACGTAGAAAACACTGGCTGCACACTGTATAATGCTAGAACACTTTAATGAAGAATCTGCAGCATCACTGTGCTTTGTCCGAGCTCTGCCCCCACTGACACGTTTCACCCTGGGCTTAGTCATAGAGGTAGGCTTAGTGATAGATACTTTGTACGGGGTGTCTTTCACATGGTTCCCCCTGTGTGTTCCCCTGTGACACTGAGGAATCTGAATGTAGTTCTCTTGGCACCGTTTGAGCCGATCAGGGACATGTCCACTTTTACTCACAAGGTTGTCTTTCTAGTTGCTATTACTCCTGTGTGGAGAGGGTCTGAGGTGGCAACCTTATCCTGTAAGAAGTCCTTTCTAAACTTATACAGGGACAAGCTAGTGTTGAGGCTTAGAACTTTCTTCCTAAGGTAGCTTTGGCCTTTTAAACAGGGCATTGTTCTTCCATCCCTCTGTTTAGCTCCATTTTCAGTACATCAAAATAATATTTCCCTCCATTGTCTGCATGTAGTTCGTGTAGTGAGGGTTTACTTTGCAGCTACTGCATCCATTAGAAAGAACAACTCTTTTTTTAAAAATTCTGACGGTCCCCATAAAGGGGAACCTGCTTCTCATTCCACCAACATAAACGCTTATGATCTTAAAGATTGGATTTCACCCTTTCCTGCAAAGCCCTTTCCTTGCCCACACCTCAAGTGCTTTTGGATTTCCCAATAGTCTCTAAATGCTCTGCAGATATGATTTTGGTCTTAGTACTGCTTTGTCACAAAACTGAGGCATGCTTGGGAGTAGGAGGGGTTATACTGTGCTGGCCCACAATGTTGTTGTTTGCTAGTGTCCAATCCTCCTGAAATCCTGTGTCTCTCAAAAAAATGCATTTTATGGTAAGTACAAAGTAAGCACATGTTACACTATACAATAGGTTCAAGGGAAGGCAAGCTCGGCAACCTCAGCACTTCAGCTGTGGTGAAACTACAAATCCCATGATGCATGGAAAAGCTCTGACAGCCACAGTCATGACTTCCGCAGTCTGAGGCATTATGAGATCTGTCGTTTCACCACAGCTGGAATGCCGGACCCCTGCAAAAGACTTTCTTAATGGTATGTGCGCCGAGGTTTCATAGAATGATATTTTATTAAAGACTACAGGTTTATAGTGTATTTGCAGAATTGTATAGTAAGAATTTATGGTATTATATGTACTTTGGAGGATATTGGTGTTATTACTGATGGACATCCTGTTTGCTGAGTGCACTGAAATCTTGCTGGTTTTCATTTAGTAAATCTGGTTACCTTACCTCACAGGATCAGCTATGATTACCGGTTGTACTGACAACTGTCCAAGAAAGACTGCGGCTTTGGCCTGGTTCACACCTGGGCGTTTTACAGCGCGTTCCTACGCGCTGTAAAACGCTCAACATGTGAAAACCAATAATTGCCTATGGGCATGGTTCCCACCTGGGCGTTTTATAGCGCATAGGAACGCGCTGTAAAACGCCCTACGCCCAAAGAAGTTAAAGGGGAACCTGCTTCTCATTCCACCAACATAAACGCTTATGATCTTAAAGATTGGATTTCACCCTTTCCTGCAAAGCCCTTTCCTTGCCCACACCTCAAGTGCTTTTGGATTTCCCAATAGTCTCTAAATGCTCTGCAGATATGATTTTGGTCTTAGTACTGCTTTGTCACAAAACTGAGGCATGCTTGGGAGTAGGAGGGGTTATACTGTGCTGGCCCACAATGTTGTTGTTTGCTAGTGTCCAATCCTCCTGAAATCCTGTGTCTCTCAAAAAAATGCATTTTATGGTAAGTACAAAGTAAGCACATGTTACACTATACAATAGGTTCAAGGGAAGGCAAGCTCGGCAACCTCAGCACTTCAGCTGTGGTGAAACTACAAATCCCATGATGCATGGAAAAGCTCTGACAGCCACAGTCATGACTTCCGCAGTCTGAGGCATTATGAGATCTGTCGTTTCACCACAGCTGGAATGCCGGACCCCTGCAAAAGACTTTCTTAATGGTATGTGCGCCGAGGTTTCATAGAATGATATTTTATTAAAGACTACAGGTTTATAGTGTATTTGCAGAATTGTATAGTAAGAATTTATGGTATTATATGTACTTTGGAGGATATTGGTGTTATTACTGATGGACATCCTGTTTGCTGAGTGCACTGAAATCTTGCTGGTTTTCATTTAGTAAATCTGGTTACCTTACCTCACAGGATCAGCTATGATTACCGGTTGTACTGACAACTGTCCAAGAAAGACTGCGGCTTTGGCCTGGTTCACACCTGGGCGTTTTACAGCGCGTTCCTACGCGCTGTAAAACGCTCAACATGTGAAAACCAA